GACGTTGAGTTCATCGATGATGATTTTACTGCAATTCCGTTGCCTAGTTTTTGGGGCAGCAAAAACAGAAGCCGGAGCAGAAGAAGACGAAAAATCGAAAAAAAAAAACCGTCGACAACTGTCAGAGACCAAACGTGGACTACGCTGTCGACCTCTCTTCTGCTTCCCTTTCATGCCGGCGGCGGCTGCGTCTTTGCCGCTTTTTGCGGTTCTATTTTCTATTTTTTTCTTTTTGGTTTGTGTGTCTGCCTTTGCCACCTTTGCGTGTCGCTTAGTTGCATGGCAATGGATCGGCAACCGGATCAGGTTTGCGGAATGGTTTGCAATTTTATTTCGTCGACGTGACAAACGCAATCAGCGTCAGTCGCATGTGTAAAAATGTGTTCGATTTGATGCGTGTTTGTGTGTGTGTGTGTGTGTGTGGATGTGTGAGTGGCTGTGTGTGTGTGTGTGCTATTTGATGGCATTCAAGAGCAGCAAGACAACTGGAGCCAGCAAACTGGAAACATTGGCCAGAGGAATTTGTATGCCAATATCTATGCTAAAATGTAGAAAGCGAGATTTTCAAAAAGTGTTGCAAAAATCTCTTCTATGTTAAGGCTTTTGCTTCCTGCGAAGGACGATGGGAGTGAAAAGAAAATTATATGAATAAATATAAAAAAATTGATATATAAAGCAGATATATAAAAATTTCTAAAATATAAAATATTAAAAATATATACTAAAATATGAAATATTAAAAAAAAAAAAAAAAAACAGATATAATGTCATGTACAAAACTGTTAATGGTAAGTAATTTTATTTATTTATTCTTACAATATTTACCTGATAATTAAAATACAGAATAGCGTTTTCATTTACTTTGATTTTTAATTCAATATTTTAATTATGTCATCAGTGCAAATTAACTCAGAATATATTTGCATTTACAAAAGCTCTGAAATTAATGACAAACAAGCCCAAAGCACATTAAATGTTATTAAAGCCATAAATTTTAACTGCTATAAATATTTTAGAAAATTGGCTGACATAAAATCAAATGAATTAAAATTAAGTTAAGTTTTAAACGGCATTATTAATAATAAATAATATAGTTGTTAAATATTTATTAAAGTGTTTTATTATAATAATTAAAAAAAAGGAATATATTTAAAAAAAAAATCTTAATTATTCAGCAATTTTATATTTATATTACCAGCCGAATAATAAAATTCCCTACTCCCTAAAAATATATAAATGTTTATTAAAGTCATGGAAAATATTTTACATCTTTTTATATTACCAGAAATAATATGAAAAATAATATTTAAAATAAATAAGATAAAAATACAAATAAAATATTATTGAAATATTACTAAACTGCACTTAAAAACGCAATATACTGAGCAACACAAACACATGAAAATTAATAAAATATATATTGCTTTTTGAAAAGAAATCATTTCGAATTTCTTTAAAAATAAATTCATTTTACCCTATGCAGCTGTTAAGTGTGGATATATTTCTATTCACAAAAAAAATATATATATTTATATAGAATATATAAATATATAAATATAAATATATATATTTATATAGAAAAACTAGAGTATTCACGCATTTCTATGCAGCGTGCAAAGTACTTCACAATATTTCAGCACTTGGAACACTGAATATTTGAATGCAACCTGAGGGTGTGTATGTACGTGTGTGTGTGTGTGAGTGGGAGCGTATGTGTGTGCTCGATAGTGCATGTGTGTAAGAATTTGGCATTGAATTATCTGCTGTTTGGCATGAAATGTTTGCCAATCGACATTGAGAGGCAAGTGCAGAATGTAAATTCAATTGCTCGACCAAAATATTTATTAAATTGTCGACTGCAAATTATGTATGCAATTTAAATGAAATTATTCATGTGAAAAGATTTTTCAAATATTTATGGCCAGTGCCAGCATGCTTACGGTCGAATTTCGAAATTTCTGTTTGCTAGCAAAAAAGCAAAAAAGTAAAAATAAAAAAAAAATTGTGGGCTTAATTAAATCTATGCAATTGCTCGACTATTATTTCGCATATTCCAAATTACATTCTGTGACAATTTTACGCGTCAATTTTCTTGTTGGGTCTAACGCCTTCTGAGTGGTTTTAATGTTCTTTGTTTTCTTTTTTTTCTGTTTTGTTTTTATGTTTCTATGTAGTGGTACTTTGGCTTTCAGGATTTTTCATAAATGCTGCATGAACCGAACTTCCGGTTTCCGGTGGGCGCACTTTCCCTTCGTGGCGCCGTTGCTGCTGGTGAGAACAAACGGAAATAAAGATATTTGGGTGGCCAAACTCAGAGTGGAACTTTGATGTTTTGCCAGTGGCACAGGCGGAAGAGGATGAACTTGAGCTTTGAGCGCTCGAGCCAACAAATGTCAATTTCATTCCAAGAACACAACAAAGAGAGTGCGAACAATGTACAGAGGCAAATATACATACATACACACATACTATTTTACTAGCTTTATAGTGAGTTTAATTAAATAATATTTGGAATTTGAGAATTCTTGTCATTCGTTAATTGGAATTTCGGAATTTTTTATGTTAATTAAATTTGATTGTTTCCATTGAATTATTCAGGTATTTGAATTGAATTGAGATTGGAGCTAAACAATTTATTGAGCCGGTTTCTTATTATTCGCTGAACTATTTATATTGCATATAAAGCAAATAAAATCCCAGCGGCAGCTGAACAAAGGGCACTTTGTCATGTGGCTTTCAATTGACATTCGATTAGCTGCTAGATTTTTTATTATATTTGTATGAGCCAGGCAGAGCAGATCGAGCGTCTGTCGACATTATGCAAATGTTGGCCCAAGCATGTATGGATAGTGTAGTCCGTGGTTAACACCTGCTTGCCTGCCGGTCTCCTTGGCTGGCTGCCTGGCTGCAGCTGTTGCTGTTGCCGTTGTCGTTGCCATTGGTACTCAATGTATTTTCCGTTTGGCAGATTCAATTACCCGCGCTTCCATTAACTGTCACCTCAGCACTGCAATTTTTCACCCAACTTAAATATTTATAGGGTTTATTAATGCGCATGTGGGTAGCGTCGCCGAGATGCAGCCAAAAAAAAGAAAAGAAAACAATTATAATTATTTATTATGGCAAAAAGTGAGACGCTTTTTGAGACTGCAAGTGCTGTGAGCGAGTGTGTGTGTGTGTGTGTGTGTGTGTGTGTGTGTGTGTGTGTGTGTGTGTGTGTGT